AAAGAGTAATCAGAGTCTGTAGTTAGATCATGGTAAGCTGCAATTGTTATTTGGGTGTAGGAGGTAGCAGCAAATTGTCATTGATACTAAATCTAAAAACTATGGAAAGAACGATGATAGTTGCGACTAGGGAAACAGTATCTACACAAATCGTCAAGTGAAAGTACTTGGAGAATATCATTAGAAAAACTAGTATCTTTGTGGTCTTGTGCGTGTCTTCTAATTCATTCTAAATATAACTCATATGCTCGATACATATAATGCCTTGAGCAGACTCTTGGTTGTAATATTTAATTAAAAGTGTTCTGGTTGTTATAATAATCTTGGGTGGAATTACTTACGCCTACACTTTGGCTCATGGGTAATTCATGCTTAATCTTCCTGATTAAGGTTCGCAGTAAGCTGCTAGCTATCTCTTGGGTGCTACAAAAGCAGAGGCTTCAAGTGTGCCCTTCTGAGCAAATCTTTTTCAATTTGTCAGGACTTCCTAGGTTGCTACGAAAGCAGAGGCTTCAAGTGTGCCCTTCTAAGCAAATCTTTTTCAATTTGTCAGAACTTCTAAAAATAAATTATTACTCCTTAGTAATAGCTGAGGTCATAAATAAATATCTTCTCGAAGAGTAAATCTGGCAGAGTTTCCCTTAGAGTATAAAACTTTAACCACAAATAGAAAAGTTAAACGTTTAAGATGTTAGTACTATGCTAACAAGGTTTGTAACTTAAAAAGGAAATATAGGAAAGCTTTCTACAAATCTAAAAGAGGTAAAATTATCCAAATCGGTTAGGTAGGTGGCAAGATATTAAGAGTCAAAGTTTATGTAATAATGTATATAGAGACAAAGTTTATAATAAAGAAAAGGGAGTAAAAACTTTGATGATTTTTAAAGTGATGAGAAGCATTTTGGTATTAAGTAACCTATATACCAAAAAATAGAGAATTTTCAAGAACATAAAGGAGGTGATATTTTTAAAATAGGATCAATATTCGTAGAGTTATTGAAGAAAAACTAAAGCTAATAAAGATTTTAAAGTAAGAATTTTTCCTTTTCACCAGGAGGCACCAAATTGTTACAAGTAGACTGTAGCCTTCATAATATAGCAAAGTAACAAAGCACACAGCTATAGAGCTCTGTTGCAAGATTATAGCGGTGTAGAAGTGGAATATTACTTCACTAAGAGAAGTTTGTGGAAAGTATATAGTTAAAGAAAGATATATGTTATTTACAGTATATAAGACTTTAATTACAAGAAAAAATCCTATAATTAAAGAGGGTTTCTGTATTTACTTGAGTCTATCTAAGGATGATTCGAACTAACTGGCAGAAAGGTAGAAAAGCCAGGATTTATATATCTTTTCTAAACTATCTAAAACTAATAGAAATAATAAGAAATAGTAGAAATGGTAGAAACAGTAAAAATGATAAATATGGTAAAAACTGTAGAAACGATAAGAATGGTAGAAGTAATAAGAACAGTAAAAATGATAAGAATGGTAAGAATGGTAAAAACGGTTACCATTCTATTAGTTTCTAATGCTATGCGCAACTAACTAATAATATCTAAGGTTTCACAATAATACAATAATAGAATACAAGATAATAATATAATATAATATATAATAATATAACTAATAATAACTAATAATAAACTTAATAATAAAACTAATACTACAACTCATTCTATAACAACATGATTATGGGCTCTATGTTTTAATAGTATCTCTAGTTCTTATTTATGTGGCCCAATACAAATTTTAGATGTTAAATATAAAATACTATAAAGTGCATAACAAGACCTAGGTTTATTTTGTTTTACTAATTTTAAACCCTTTTATAGGTTCTGGGTCTAGTATATATCATACATTGAGAAGTTGTATCATAAAAGTAAGAGAAAATTAAATAAAAAACATAAGAAGTAAATATCGTCTTAAATATTTTATTGATAATTATCAAATAAAAGAAAATTAATCAGAGTGTATATAAAAAAATTAAACCAAATAATAAATGAATACTTAGCTAAATAATCTGGTTAATAAATGATTGACTTGCTTATCTTATGCTAAGAGTTGGGTATTTTAAAAGTTGCATATATAAAATTTTTAGGAAAAGCTATTTATTTGAAATAAAATAACATTCAATTTACTATCGAATGATAAAAAAAAAAAACTTTGAAATTTAAACTTTTAAAATCTGTTTAACAAGATATAGCTGAAAATCTAAGTGTGCCAAATTACCTGCCCATATCAGAAAACCCAATTTTTACTTTGATTAGTAGATGATTATTGTGCACATATAAAAAACAATTATAAATATTTTGATCTTTTTATCTGCTAAATGCTACAGACAAGTTTTTAGCAGATCTATTAAATTCTGAGACTATGCAATGTTCTAAGTGTAATTATATATGGTGGTATATATAATTATGTGTATTCAATCCAGTAATTATTCTTATTCGTATACTATCTAACCAAGTTGCTAAATATTCATCTCCATTTTTTTAAATATTATCCACTCACCAAATTTTTATATTCTATAGTTTTAAGTTAAAATTCTTTAATATAATCTTCAATATTCTATTTTTACTTATTCATCTTTAAGCTATTCTATGGGAGTTTTAAGATAAATATAATTTATGAGTACATAAATATAAATATAATATATAATGTTACAAAGTAGATTTTAGTGTAGCATTTGGTATAGAAATTTAAGTTATTTTTATCTTAGTATTATTCATTATTATATATATTATTAGTTAGTTTATTCTTAGTTATATTTAGTATATTCTTATATTATATATTATTATATTATATTAGATAGTAATTTTATAGTCAATAAATAAGAATAATTTGATTGGCTATTGGAAGTGTAGTGCAGTCACATGACCTCACATGACCTAAGGTAACACAAGGTTATACAAAAGGGTACTTTAGATTACACAAAAGATATCACGAAAGAGTAACACAATTTCTCCCAAGTTCTTCTACACAGAATTCCCCAGATTCTCACACACGAAATCCTAAGTGTTTTGAACACAAGATATTGCATCGCAAGCCTCACATTGCGTCGCAAAGTCCCTCAGGTTCTCCTCTCCAGGTTCCCCTTCACAAACAATAAATAAATATAAACAAATCAAGTAATGTTTATATTTCTCCAACTTCCCTCAATACAATCCCCTAACTTTCTCAATACAATCCCCTAACTTCCTCGGCACAATCTCCCAACTTCCCCCACTAATGTTACTCATTCTCCAATGTCCCCTTGCACACTATGTACCTTTGCTTTGGGCAGAAAAGATATATAAAGAGTGCCTTTTCCTCCTTCCTGCCAATTCTTAAGTTTCTACACTTCGCTTAAACTCTGATATCTTTTACCCCCTTCTTATCTTGTAAAGTGTGATATTCACCCTCTAGGATAATTCCTACAGGCAAGGCTTATCACCATTCTTGTATTAAATAAAGCTATCTTATATACTGTTACTATCTCGAACTGTTTGCCTGCTGCTGTGTAGTTAAGTAAACAACTACACCTCCACTCCGTATATATTTGCAATAGTCAATCACTGTACCAGGTGTTCTTGTTACTTGGTTGTATTTTACTAAGAAGACTATAACTTTATAACATTTTGGTGCCTCCTGGTAGAAACATAAAATTTTGTAAAGAGCAAAATTTATCCTCTTAGAAGCAAAACCTCTCTCTCCCTTGGAAGGAAACCTTCTTGCAGAGACTATTTTCAACTCTCTTGCCCAATAAAAAATAAATATACTAAATTTATATTATATTTATATTAAATATTCAGTTTTTATATTAATTTTATACTAATTTTGTACTGATTTAAAAATTTTAGCTTTTAATTTTTAATTTAATATATTGGTTTTATACTAACATTATATAGATAATATACTAATATTTAAATTTTATAGTAAATTTGTATTTATTTATTTATTAATTTTATACTAAAATTATATAAATAATATACTAATATTTAAATTTTATTGTAAATTTGTATTTGTTTATTTATTAATTTTATAGTAAATTTATATTATTAATTTTGGATTTATACTATATTATATGAGAAATAAAAACTTTTTATTATTGCTTCTATTAAATATTATTTACTACAATAACTTACTTACTACTCTTATATTCATATTTAATATAGATAAAATAACAGAATAACATAAATAAGCACTAATGTTAGATATAGCTATATTTTTATTCTTTATCGAAGTCACTATTTAAACTATCTACATTTTTGTCAATTATATAAGTAATATTTTTAATTGGAAAAAATCCAACACAACGATCAATAACACTGACATCGATAAATTCCGTATTGCCTATAGTTTTAAAAAATTAAAAATCTAAATTATCTTCAAATACTTTTCTAATCCATCGAACATATGCAAACATATATTGTTTTCTTTCAAATTCATGAACCAAATAATATTCAACATATCCATAAAATTCTTGAATTCGAAAGATTGAAGGTCATTTTGGGTATGCTGAATTAATATCGATTTCCATTTGAGCCTATAAAAATAAATATATGTAGTTAAGCTTGTTTTATGTAATAAAATTTAAGAAATATAATATCAATAATATTTATTATAAATTAATTATATTAGCAGTATTGTTTGGAGATTGAAACAAGAACTCTAAAGTTACCAACCTAAAAAGTTTTGTAATTATATTAGAAATAGATTTTATATTAGGCTAAAAACAACTTTATTACCATAAATCGCTATATACAAGACCCCAATGATACGTAGTAGTGAAGCATAGGATCTATATTTATCAAACCCGGGTTTTTTTTCAGAAACTCATGACTGCATACTAGGCCCAGGGTCAATTATAAGTCTTAAATTGGTGAAACATAAGAGTTCTGGGTCTTTTATATGGTGATTTAAAAAAATTATAAAAACACTTACTTTTATGTGCAAAGGTGGTTTTATAAGTAAAATATTACTGTTACAAAAATACCAAAATTTATAAGACCCCTTTTCAGACCGGGTAATTATTTAATGGGAATTTATTTGATTCTTGATTTTCAAATATGTCACTTGATTGCTGATATAATCCTGATATGGTTGTTGCTTCTCACCAAACTTGAACTAGTGACCTTGTAATTAGAAGCATGACTACAACACTAAAGCCCACAAGGCTACATCTACATCTGATCTTGAAATTTGATTAACAAATTTTTTTTTTTAGAGCGGTAACACTAGAGCAATTGTTTCAATCCCAAAATATTGTCTGTTGTATCACTATAATATAATCATAGTTTTTAAAAGCCAATTTCTTAAAAATAGATAATTCTAACAAAGTTAGTGTTAGCTTATTATATTTTTTTAAGTAATAGCTTTTATGTAGCAACTATTATTATTACCGATACTATACTTGTATCTAATTTAGAACTTACTGCTATAGTATAATTTGTTTTGGCGATATCTTTTTTTCTTTTTCTTGACCGCGACCCAACAAGGATACCATCCTTAGTTCTTAATCGTGCATATTTTAAACCATTGGTAGAAAATTCCTGAATATAAAATTTAAATTGTTATTAGATTAATACACATCATAAAATAATTAATAATCATAATAATTACCATAGTTGTCACTGCCATACAATTGATTGTTTTATAATATTGTTTTAATTTTTTAATTTCAGTTTGATTTAAAATATAATGAGTGCATGGAAAATATAGTTCTTCTTGATAATTTTTACTTGTAAACACGATATTAATTCCATGCTTTTTTTTAGCAGTTCGTTGTGAAAAAACTTGATTATAAAGATGCGGAAAAAAAATAAGATGATTAAAACATTCTTGTATAGCAATGTTGTTGATTAAATTTTGATATGGATGTAATCGTGATTGAACTAATAGAAGAAGCATTCTACATAATCACTCCATAGAGAATTGCCATGTAGCCCAACATGGTCCAGTTGTTTGAATACTGTCAGCGATATGTAATAAATAATGGAAACAAATTTTCATAGCTGATAATTGAGCATCTTCTCTCTTATAATAATGTCTAACAAAAAATTAATTTTTTAGTTTAATACAAGTTAGAACCAATTAAAATATGCTACAGTCGTACTCTCATACATATAAGCATCTTCTATATAAGCACATCACCTATATATGCATATTGAATATTGATTTTTTTTGAACCCACTACTATTAAATATATAAAAATAGTTTCCTATATAAGCACATTTTCTATATAAGACTACTTTTGTGGGTCTTGATAGTGTGATTATATAGGAGTGCGACTGTATGTTACCTTTCATAATGCTTATAAAAGTCCAAAAGTAAGTAACGAATTTCTAATATATCTATATCAGAAATTATACGTTTTTGGTATAGTTTAACTGCTTGAACATATTTGGACCATCCAAGAAGAAATTGTGCTAGCAAATGATTTTTTAATAAGGATAAAGAATATAAAGTTATCCAATTAGCCCATTCTTCAGCCTTATATCCATCTCGATGTGCGACTATATTTCTTGGTGGACGCCCAAAATCTGGAGGCATAAATTTTTTTGATTCGGTCATTAAATTTCCAATATCTTTCCAAACGCGTTTTTGTAATGTATATTCATTATCATTTAGAGCATCGTTCGTATGAAAGCATCCATACCAATGTTGAAACATGTATTTCAGAATATTTTCGTAAAGTAGATGCATAATATCAATTGCAAAAGATTTAGAAAATTTTACAGAACACAATTCAAACAGAATACTTCGTTTCGTAATTCCTGTATTATGAATAAAAAATTAAATTCAAATATAAATATAAATAAAAATGTAAATACATTCACACTCCTATATTATTATGCCATTGAGACTGTCAAAAAATGTTTTTATATAGAAAATATGTTTATATAAGAAATTATTTTTATATTTTTAATAGTAGTTGTTCAAAAAATCAATACGCTTATATAGGTGCTTAAATGGGAGTGTAACTATACAAATAGGTGCGTCAGGAGAAAAACCTGTAACTAAAATTTTATTCACTAATATAATATTAGAGAATAAAATTTTACTTACAGGTTTTTCCCCTTATACACTCAAATATATTCGCATATACTGTATATATAATATTACCTAGTTGTAATTCTAATTTTTTTTTATTGGTTTTAGATAATGCATTAGCATTTTCTAATTTTTGAATTTGTTGAAGGTATTTACAATGTGTTTTTCGTGGTAAATTTGCTGGATCATAGATAGTTCTCTTTTTTTTTTTTGGAGTAGTTGGATAATAAATATGATTAAAATAAACACCCTGTAATTCACAATATCGACAGCCTTGATATGAATTATGTCCAGTAGTACACATAAGTTTAGTTAAAGCTGGTGTATTACCCGATCAAGAAACAATGAAGGCATGAAGAATAAAAATTTCTTGGTTCTTTAATCCATTATGACATTCAATTCCATCTAAAAATTTATATGATTTTAGTTTAATGATATTTAATTTTTAAGTGAAGTACAATATTACCTTCTAATTCCTTTAGTTCATCAACAACTGGTATTAAAAATGTATTTAAATTTTTAGGTTCATTAGGACCAGGAATTGTGGCGGTTATCAAGAGATTTTGCTGTTTTACACGATTTTCTGGAGGAATATTTGCATTTAAAAATAATATAACCCAACAATCATCAATTTTTTGACGAAATATTTGATATCCGTCAAGAGATCCAACTAATGCAATGTCTCGATAATCAGAAAAATATCTGTTTTCTACTAAGTCTTTATATCGTTCACCATCAAATATATCACCATATTTATTTTTACTATACTCAATGCGTGTTGTATAATTATGTCGATATTGTAGCTCTTTTGATCGAGTAGAATCAGTATATTGAAGTATAAACCGATCTTTAAGTGAAAAAAACACCATTTTTTTTCGACTATTTCCATTTTCATAATGTGGCTCACCACAATAATGACATAATTTCGCTTTTCTAAATTCGTCTGTAAAGGCCATACAACTCTTTACACACATGTCAATCCATCTGAGCTCAATCTGAACTATACTAGTAAGCTTTTTTGTAGCTTTGTGATAGCTGATTTGTTTATTACTAAATTCTGTCATCACTTGTTAATAAATATTATTAGTCATATTTGACCGAACTTTAATATCTAGTAATCGTAATGCTTCTGAATATCCTGGTGGAAGTTAGTCTTTTAAAATATATAGTTAGTGTAAAATAGATATTAATTATTTACTCAAACAAAATCTAATTTACATACAATTATCGTTAAACTCTGTATTAGATGTCAAATCGTCAATGGAGGTTGTATCATCAGTCAAGGTTGCATTGTCAGTCGAGGTTGCATCATCAATCAAGATTGCATCGTCAATTGAGGTTACATTAGAAAATATCATATCTTCAACCTGAATATCATTGAAAAATTCTGGACCTTGCCTATAATTAAAGGTAAATTAGTACTAAAAAATAATGTTCATATTTTTTGAAAAATTAACAGCTTAAAAAATAAATAAATATATATATATACTCTTCATATAAATTGATATTAGTAACTTCTTCATTGCTTGCTAAAATTAGCCTTTCTTCAGATAATTCAGATTTTAATTCTTTTTTTTTTAATAATTTATTTTTTAATTTATGCTGGTATCGAGTTGTTTTATGTGTCAATCTGTAGCCATTAGGGTTAAGCTGACAAATTCTACAAGTACATTTTACTAGTTTCTTGTCTTTGTTA